AGCCTACTAGAATGATATAATCAGTTGCCTTCTCAGTTTACTAGATACATTTTGCTGTAATAAAAATGACTGAAGTGAGATGAACAGACATACTACTTTATTTTATTTGATAAAACTGTTGATGTTGACAAAGTTTTCCTTTGGGGACATAATTTGCCACTGAAAAAAGGTAATAAATCGCAATATATTTTATTCCAATACCCAGCATATTGCAACACATTTATAATCGCAATAATTTTGTATTGTGACTCATGTAAATTGATCGCATGTTGGAGGAACACAAATGTTTCACATTAGTTTCTGTATCTTCATTTTTAAATGCAAAAGGCAAGTTAAACTTAACTCAAACTTCCAGAGTTTTGCACACAAAAGACACAAGTCTCTTTCAATTTTAAGGGGAACACCACCTAAATAAAGAATCCCAATATGTTGTTTCCATGGCCTTGGAAAGTTAAATTAGTATTTGTGAACATGAGCTACTCTCTCCCAGAGCCAGACACCAGAGAAGAAAGAAAGGGAGAGTTTATTATTTTTGCTCATATTTTTGGATGTTCTTAGACCATAGGAATAACTTTTATAGATACAGTCGGCAATGACGGGAACGCCCACAAGCGTCACATCCGGTTAGAGCCGAGGGGGAAAACAAACCGGTCTCTGCCATTAGCAACAATGCCGAAGAGTTGCTGTGTGCCCTTTTGCACCGCAAATAAACAAAAAAATCACCAATTAAAGTTTTACATTTTACCAAATAATAAAACGGAACCACAAAGGAGGACAAAATGGCTTCAAGCTATCAGAAGAGAGGACATTTTGGCAGAGTTTTTTTGTTTATTTGCTGTGCAAAAGGGCACACAGCAACTCTTCGGCACTGTGGCTAATGGCAGAGACTGGTTTGTTTTCCCCCTCGGCTCTAACCGGATGTGAAGTTTGTGGGCGTTCCCGTCATTGCCGACTGTATCTGTGGATTTTGAAAATGGCTGTAGTTCCCCTTTTATATATTTATTAATATCCAGATGATGAATTCACAATTCAATATAACAAAAACAGTCTGTAGGTGTTGAAAACGCATAACAAGCTATAATACAGCTAAATAAGAAAATTAACTAAATGACATTTAAACCTATATATAGTGAATACCTCACAATACTCATACTGATAATAATCCAGGTCATGTCATTTGGATTTCTGAAAAACTCTTGCTAACCTGAAAACACTTTTGTATCTTCATCTGTCCCAAATAAATCAGATTAACAGACCAGTCTCACAGCAGACTGCAAGAAAAGCGCAGGTGGAGGTGTTAACATTAACGATGTCACTGTCCCAGCAACTGCAATGTCATAGGTTACACCTGTGAGTGACGATGTCTGCTGTGATTTTTGGCCTCTGGGGGGCACAGAGAAACAAACTCAGTGTAACATAGAGCTGAAGGTTAAGTTGTGGCTAACGTGTTAGCATAGAAGTATCTACTTAAAAGACATTGGTGCAACTTTATCATTAATTTGGAGTCATGCTTCTCCACCTAATTAATGTAAGTTTAAAATTTACTTCTATTTTTCAACTCTGGTTTTGTTTCCACCTACTGCTGACAGAAATGTCTGACTTTTTAGCTGCTTTGCTCTACTTTCTTTTCCACCTAGCTTAACCGCTAACTCCACCTGCTACTGTAGCGTACAGGTGTTTGCTAGAAATGTATGCTTTAAGTTTTATTTAAATATTCAACCATACAGTTTTTGTACAGGTACAGCACAAGTGGAGAAACATAATAGGTAGCAGAAATCTGCTAAAGCAATGTAGCGTTAGCATTAGCTTAGTTACTACAACTACTAAGCTAATGCTGTGGCGTTAGCTTAGTAGTTACTACAACTACTAAGCTAATGCTACTAAGCTAATGCTGTGGCGTTAGTTTAGTAGTTACTACAACTACTAAGCTAATGCTACTAAGATAATGCTGTGGTGTTAGCTTAGTAGTTACTACAACTACTAAGCTAATGCTACTAAGCTAATGCTGTGGCGTTAGCTTAGTAGTTACTACAACTACTAAGCTAACGCTAGTGCTACATGTAGTAATGTAGACTAATGGTGTTCTGTACACTGACGAGGATCATTAAAGGTGATGTTTTTTCGCCAATAGCTGAATAAATATTTCCAGGCCATGAACAAAATGTATAATATATACAGTAAATACACATATTATGTGTGTCATCTTCGGTTCCCCCTTTGTCCTGTCGGTTTGCTAAGTGCACCCACAGTGTTTGATAATGGAGGGGAGTCCAGCTTAAGCGGGGAGATGACTACAGCAGCGAAAATGTACATTTTGATTTAATTTAGGCTTCTCACAGTATTGTAGCCTGTATGAATAGATGTTATCACAATACAAGCCCCTGACTAAGAATTTTCCTAGTGGACCATCATTTAGGGCCATTAGTCGACAAGTCGCCGGCATGTGTAATGGTTTGAGTTGAAGGTGTGAGAAAGAATAGTATCAGTAACATTGTTAACACTGTGCTACATTACAGAGAAATACAAAACCGTACTAATGAACCTTCATTAATATAGGCCTATATTTTATCTACAAGTGCACGTCACACACTGAGCGAGCCGCCTGTTAATGACGCTGTGGGCTAATGGGCATGTAGCTACTTCCATGTTTCAGATGATACGTCATGTTTGTAGTCGACCAATGAAGATGAGTTTACTTATCACCTTGGGTTCGTCCTTCACCTTCTCAAAATGATCCCACACTTTGGATTTCCTGCCCGACATGTTATTAACTAGCCTGTGGAATAACTGCAGGTACCAGCCCTGGAAATTAACCTGACTCCTGCCTGACTGCTGAGCGTGGACACTTCCTGTGTCTGTCCTTTCAAATTAAATTTCCACATGTTCCAGTCATATAGGTTTTGGTTTATTTTGACAAGGCACAGCACTTAATGTTTTTTTTTTTTTGTGTGTGTGTGTGTGTGTTTTTCTTTCTTTTTTTTTGTGCAACTAAGCAACCAATGAAATGTAACATTTGGTTGACTGTTAGGGGGCATTGAATATATTACATTTTGTTCAATTAATGCTTTAATATGGGCATTTGTAACGTCAGTGCTAGGTGATCACTTGGCAGCACTCTCAGGCTGCAGCTGCAAGATTTGGGATCTTTTTGGTCTGTATTTAATCAACTTTAAGACAGTTATACAAGTTCACAAACCTCAACTGCAGCTGCAGGTCTGTCAAAACAGACGCTGTTTTGCATTTTATCTTGCAAGCAATGTTGATAGGATGTTAGCGATTTATACGTTATTGATCAGGCTCTATTAAAGATAAATAATCAGGTAATATTTGATACTTTTTGTGACATTTTTACTATTGAAATCATGTATTTGTACTCTGTACTGAACACTGTTGAGCCTCTGATCTTATAAATCAAAGGTGGAGGTGTTTTTTGCCCCATTTTTCTCAAAATCTATGGATCCAAAAACAGTCAGACTGGTCTGTAGAAATTCCCCATTCCACATTCTTGTCTGGCTCTTGACAACAGAGCAGTGCTCACTGGTGTGTACTACAGGGTGAAAAGTGAACAGAGCAGTCTTTGTTAATGTGCTATAAGAGGTGAAGTGGTTTTATTTGACCATACACACTAAAAAATGTCCCTGTTACTGGAATAATTCAGGTTCACTTTCTGTCACAAGAAGTGTGTATCAACAGCACTGCATCTGTCCACCCACAGCATAAAACATTAAACATTACAGTTAATATTTATGTGTGTAGCAGTGTGTCCATTGTCTTTTCACAACTCGTTTCCTTGTTGCTTGTTGACTCACACTGAATACATTTTGACTACCTACCCTTCCCAGTGCCAATACAGACACATGGTTTTGTGCTTTAATAATGGGCTTACCAAGAGACCCCAAAGTAATAGTGCATATTAAATATAAAAGCCTCAGTGTCTTAGTTAAAATCCATTATAATAGATTTTTTTTTCTGCAGTCAAACATGCCTAACAAACTAAGTGCTGTGACTGTTTACAACAACTCTAAATTGATTGTTTTTCATTAAAGATTATTGCTTACTGGTCTCTTAAATTTGCAGCTTTTGACAGTTTTCGCTCATGCATTCATAAAGCAACATTAAGTCAGCCAAGGTGTTATTTTAAGAAAGTAAATTGTATATGTTTATTTATTTGTTTTACATTGTTTTACAATGTGCACAGTCATTAAACGTCTCCAGTGCTGATGTAAATTAAAAACAGGGCTGGGCAACATATTGATATCATGATATTAATATGTCTTAGATTTTGGATAATGTCATAAATGTTGTCTTCTCCTGGTTTTAAAGGGTGTAATTTTCTTAACTTATCAGACTTTTCCAGCTGTTCTATTATTTGCTTTTACCCACTTAGTCATTATATCTACATTACTGATTATTATTTATCAAAAATCTCATTGTGTAAATATTTTGTGACAGCAACCCTGCAATATCATTGCAATATCAACATCAAGGTATTTGCTCAAAGATAGCGGGATATTTAATCTTCTCCATATCGCCCAGCCCTAATTACAAACACTAATAATCTGTATGTGTTCTCCATCTTTATCAAATACAGTACTGCAGGATTGCTCAGCTGTTTTTGAGTTCTCGCTGTGAAATGTCAGCCTCTTTCTATGCTATTTTACCACAAAGTTGAATTATTACTTTTATCTAATATAAAGTATTTTAGACATTCTGTTTTCTCGTGCCTTAGTAACTGTAGTTAAGTTTAGCGCATGAGCACAGTAGATAAACATTCCTGCTAGAAAAGACAGAGGGGGAGAAGCAGCATCTCTGCAGGTTAAAAAAAAACAATCCAAGAGGTTCACAAAAAAAACATCTTACCCCCCAAAACAAGAACAACATAAATGACATTAACATTTAATCAAGGAACAGACTTGTACAACAACATTTACAAAGAGAAGCAGGAGAAAAACAATCAAATATCTTGTGACTAATCTGTATTTTCTTGTTTTCTCTTCCAGTGAAGAAAGCCAAACTCCACGGGCCTCCAGGTAAGAGTGGATGTATTATACTAAATAACTGCTGATGTTTAAAAATTGAGAGGAGTTGGAATCATACTAAGAGGGACAGCTGTGTTTATTTTTCATTAATAGTCTTCATCTGAGTCGTATGTTGCTAGAGGTGGGATGTTACGGTGAATCTAGAGGAGGTAGTGGCAGTAAGGGGTCGATCACACCTACAGGTTGTGCTAGAAACACGGAAGCTTCAAAGACGCTTGAAATGCCTGAAACACCCTTTCAAGAGCGGGGGTGCGCGTGCAACCGGGCAATCAAAACATTGAAAATGGACCCAAGAGGGAGTTCTATGGTGCTACTGGTGCCTGACGCCCAAAAGTTGAGATTACATCAACTTTCAGCATCTACAAAAGTGTGTCTAAAAAGACGCCAGAAAAAGATGCCAGAAAGACGCTTGTCATAAAAAATGCTTGAAAACCAGTCAGACGTGCCGTGTCGTAGGTAATCAATTGTTTTACTGGCGTCTCGTTTCTAGCGCTCCTTGTAGATGTGATCGCCCCCTAAGAGTCTGAGATTGGTGACTGTCCAATTTGTGGAATTTTCTTTAGTCAGGAAATACGTTAAAGGTTTTCAGCATCCACTGAAGATATTGACTGAAGGAATGGGATCGCAGATACAAGCGGCCGAAATGAGTTTCCTCTGTGGAGCGTCTGGACCCAGCCTTAGAGATAGAGTAAGGAGATCGGACATCTGGAGGGAGCTGGAGTAGAGCCGCTGCTTCTTCACGTCGAAAGGAGCCAGTGGAGGTGGTTGAGGCATCTCATCAAGATCCTCCTGGGCGCCTCCTGTTAGAGGTGTTCTGGGCATGTCCCAGTGGTAGGAGGCCCCGGGGCAGACCCAGAACATCCTGGAGGGATTACATATCTCATCTGGCCTGGGAACACCTTGGGGTCCCCCAGGAGGAGCTGGAAAGTGTTGCTGGGGAGAGGGATGTCTGGGGTACTTTGCTTGGCCTGCTGCCCCCGCAACCTGGCCCCGGATAAGCGGATGAAAATGGATGGGTGGACGGATGTGCACATAAGTATGAGAAATGTGAGAAGTTGTTAGGTGATGTCATCTATTCCAGGAGGGTGGTGAAGATGTAGTAGATTAGGGAACCACCCCCGTATGGAGTCTAGACACTGGTGGTGGTGATGAGATGAAGAGGGGGCTGAGGATCTGGATGGGAAGAGGAGTGGGCTTTTGATGAGCTTGACCAGGGCTCTGGATAAGGTGACTGGAGGTGAATTGGGTGGAGGAGGGCACGACGATTCCACCTAAAACGACAGCTGACAGGAGCAGAGAGGAGAACGGATTTAGCAGCAACACGAATGACTGAAAGACATCGTGGCAAAATTTGATTGGCTAACCAGGAGAGGGAACAGCCACAGTCAGCTGATAGGAGGAAGCCGTGGGAATGAGATAGAGAGATCTAAGTGTGCAGGAATCTTTTCTACCAAAAAAGGGAACATAAAAAGTACTCATTCCTTAAAAAACTACTTTTTTTACTGATGTACGTCACCTGTCATGAGTTCCTACCCACCCCTGGCAGCAACAGCAGAGGTCTGCCTGACAGGATGATACTTCTGTTACTTGGATTCAGTGGGGCACTTGAAAAATTATCTACAACACCCGATTTTGTGTGTGATTGAGTCTACATCAAGATGAATCTAATAATAGTACGGTAATAATAAAAGTACTTCTGGCAGCACCATTGATGCCCCTTGTTAGGAACTGCTCTTGAGATTTTTTTATGTTTTATGTCCACCCCCAACTGTGAGATGAATTATACGCCCTTGCTTTGAGCAAGGTATTGATGTCAAAAGTGGCACTCTGTCTTCTTTTACCTTTCTTTCCTTTAAACGTGTTGCTGGCTGCAGCTGTTGGTCGCGTCTTCTCTCCAGGCGATGATGAGGGGAGAACAACAGCAACGAGTGGGAGAATGAAAAGTCAAGCCAGAGGAGGAGAGAAGAAAATCAATAGATCATCACAGACAAAGGGCCACCTGCTAGCCTGAAATGACAACGTGTCACCCCGGCATAAAGGAGAAGATGGAGACAAATTCCTCAGTGTCTTTTAGGAGACAGAGACAAACTCCAGATACAGGAGATGATTTGTCATTGGCTGCCTCTGGCCTCTGATTGCTGAGCAGATTCTCAGAGCGGAAGAGGAGATTTGATTGGCCTCCCCAGGGTTTATAAAGGAGGACATGAGTGATGGTGTTGCTACCGTACAGTCAGAGCTACTGTAGAAATGTCCTTTAATTAATTTATTTCTCAGCTCTCCCGAATTACTTCTGCCAGCAATTCTCCCTTTATATGTTACACAGTTTAAGTAATTTACACACACAGGAAGGAATGGAAGTCAGTACTTGGTAATCTGACCTAAAACAACACACCTACTTTTCCTTAGGACTGTAGCACCCAGTCAAGTAGCTGATGGAGAGTATACCCTAAATGCAGTTCTGTCATGTGACATGATTATTAGTCTCAGGTCAGACACAACTAGTTTGTCCCACTCTAATGCCCCAGTTTGGGAAACATGATCTGATTTATCTTAATAGTAAAAAGCAATAGATTCTTTGCCTGGGGGAGCTGGCTGCTGTCCCAAAGCCCTCCTGAAACCCCACTGGTGGACGACCCCTGAGAGATGTTGGCTGGTATATGTGTCACTTTATTAGTTTCAGAGATTTAAAGCACATTATACTTTTTTTAGCCATGCTACAGCTGTGGCTCTAAAGATGGCGATGTCAGGTAGTCTGTTGGTATATTGATCCAAAGTTGTCAGCGTGAGTACAAGTACTGGATGGATTGCCGTGATATTTGGTACAGACAGAGAATATATGACTTTGTTGAGCCCTGAATTTTTCACCTCGTGTCGCAAGCAGGTCAAACCCCTTAAAGTCCAGAGGAAATATCTAGCTTTAGTACCATGATTCATTTCCGAGTGAAATAGGATAGGTGGGTGGGATATAATGTTAGGAGGAATTTTATATGATCGTTGAAAAGTGGGCGTCATAACAGTGAGGCCCAGACAGTGCACACCAACAGGTAGGGCTAAGATCAGCCCCAAAGCATCAGACCTGACCCCACATGTCCCTACATGTCCTCAAAGATTGAAAGCACGTTATCCTGTTTGTAGCCATGCTATAGCAGTGGCTCTAGAGGCGATGTCAGGTAGTCTGTTGGTATATTGATCCAAAGTTGACAGCCAGACTACATTTATTGGATGGATTGCTGGGATAATCAGTACAGACATTGGTGGTCACTAGAGGATGTATACTAATGACTTTGTTGAGCCCTACATTTTTTTTTCCAAATGCCACAAGCAGGTCAGACCCCTTCAAGTCAAGAGTAAACTGCATATTGAGAGTATCTAGCTTCAGGATCATGATGAATTTCTGAGTGAAATGGGATAGGCCTCCACATCAGACCTGACCTGACCCTACATGAACCTGCGTAGTTTCTGTCCAAGCCCGACCCAACCTCAAGCTCAGCATTAGTTTTGGGCCCACCAAATAAATAATCCCAGTGGAAAATAATGGTAATGTCAGCTACTGTATAAGCATAGCTTTAAATGATTAGCTGTAAGTCATAGAATATGTGTTTCTATATGTTTGTGTTTGTTTTTTTGGTTTGGATCAATCAACTCTTTGAGTAGACAACAAGTAAGATCCCAAAATGACCAAAGGGTTGTTACTCAACATTACACGATCATTTCTCAGTGTCTCAGTCTCAAGTGTGGATTTTTTTTTTTTTTTACAGTTTTACAGCCTATTTTTCTGCCAAATGTCGCTCATATTTCTGTCTCACCACACTGGAGAGCAGTCGTACTGGTGTGTGACTGTTTGTGTCATTTACAGCCCAGAGAGGAGATCTGTGCCAGCATACAGTACGTAATGTAATTCACCTTCACTTATAGAGTCAGAGGCCACTTAGGATGTTCATATGGAAGCTGATCCATTATACAGCAACACAGCTCATTTAATTGAATACTTCCTGTTTCTCTGGTTTAAAAGATGCAGCTCAGTGATATCAGCTGATACCAGCTTTGGATCATGACACCATTTACTTGCAAATCTCTGGATTAGAGGGTCATGAAGTGGGGTTTTAATCAGAGGGAAGCCAGTTTGAATCTGAGACTACTTTGGGATAACAGTCCTGACAGGAAGTGTGAATTAGAAACACAAAGGGTCGTCATTGTCGCACCTGTTTTTGTTTTCTCTGCGGCCCGTGTGCAGAAAGTGAAACTTTTGGACTGTACTTTATTGGATAAATCATTAACCTTGAGCAACAGGCCTGACTTTAGGTGTGTTTGAATAGGGAATTGTATGAATTCATTTAGCTTTCCATACCTGATGTGTTCCTTATCAGTGGTAGTGGTTATCATGCTGTGATGGTCCACTACAGCCTAATGAATGCAGAGGAATCCCTGACAATAATGAGGCGATGGTGTTGGTGTAATGAGGCGGTCCTGTCTCGGCACAGCCTGAACTTCTCAGCTGTCTTACTTGTTTTCTGTCTGTGACTTATTGCAAACCGAAACAGTTCCTCCTGAGTCACCTTAGTTTATTTGAAAAACTAAGTAGCCATTGTGGAAGACAGTTTTATTGTCTATAATGTGTAATAGCTGAGGGACCCACAGGAGCATGTTAGCAAAACTTAACCTGCTTATGAAGTGGAAACGAAGCAACATGAACATTCTATTAGTCATGTTTTTGTGGACCTGCTAAATGAAGCTGCTAACTTTGTCTGCTGTTTAGTGATGGCCAGATCGTCTTCAGTTTAACAGAGCTTGTTTGCTGAAAACATCTGTCTGCTGCTCAAAACAGAGTTGATAGGAGCAGTGAGACTACAATAACGGCCATGTAAAACAAAAAACAATGAGGTTAAAGGGTTAGAAACATGAACAGGTTGGTGGTGAACTGTGGGCTTCACTACGCGCCTCTCAGACAGTCACCCAGCCTCCTGGCTGAACAGGCATTGCCGGAGGACCGG